AATAATAAATTACAGAGCTCTTTAAAACAGTATTTAGTTTCAATAATAAACTAAAATGTATTTATTTAAATGTTAAGTCACATTTAAACAAAAAATAAAACAATCACCAAGTAAACAAAGAACGTAGTCGAGTAGGCTAGTTTTAATGTTATTATAGCATATTTTTTTTTAACATAGCTATGTACCTAGGTACCGTTTACCTAATAAATAATAGCAAACATTGCTTTTGTAAGCCCCGTAAGATAATATTTTTGACTGACATTCTACAAAAAATACATTTTATCAATAACCTAAATTCGCTAATATAGTATTTTATATAAAAATTTAGAAGAATATACAAACCAAACTTTTATTTAATTATTATAAATAAAAATATTTACTGTGAACCAATACCTACACCAAAAATAATTTTTATTTTTATAAATAAAACTAGAAGTACCTACTGTGTTCTTTTTATCCTTAGCTTTTATTTACCCAACTGGCAACACTGTATGGATGTCACAAAGCACATTATAATTATGTGGATGTCACATGGCATGGGTTATAAAAATGTATATTTGATATACGGCGGAGCTCACAACGATATGTTTAATATATTTTTTTAAATGTGTATGGTTGAGTTTTTAAAACTGAAAACAAATGGAAATATTATTTCCAAAAAAGCATATTTTTATTTATTTATCAGTCTGCTCTTTGGGGTGGATGTTACAACGACACAATTTTTACGGGATGTCACAAGATACGGAGTATAGCTATATATATATATATATATATATATATATATATATGTGCACGCCTATCTTATTCGGCTCCATACGTTCGAAGGAGACCTGGCCTCCACCAGAAGGAATAGGAATTTACGAGTTTTTTTTTATAGAAATAAATTAATAAAGTCTTTCTTTATATGAGCAACCTGAGAGGGGAAAACTTTTCTTAAAAATAAAGAAAGAATTTTTATACACATTTTTGATAAGGCTTAAGGTGAAGTGGCCTCCACACAGTAGACAATCTTTTTGCCTCCTGTGAATATATTTCCAGAGGTGCCTCGGTTGAACTTGCCTCCAGCGACGTTGCCGCACTGACCCTCACATGTATTTATATTATTTTTCATTTTAAGCCTTTTTATGTATTTCGATGATTGCGTTTATCGGTTAATTGGACTCCTCCAAAATATATTTATTTTATTAAATGTATAAATACATTTATAATTTAACATTTAAGGTATGGATTGGTTTCTTTTATTAAAAATGCATCTAATGATGCCATTAAGTGGTAATTTGGATGTACACATTTAATTGACTTTTAAATATAAATTATATAATATATTTAGATATAAATGGTAGGTATATCTATAGATACATCATTTTTGTTCTTTAAAAAGGGTTTTTAAACAAATATTATCAATTCACAAAAAATTGAAATTTTTGTGTACCTACTTATCTATTGTTTGCTTTGGAAAAAATTAATTTTTCAAAATCTACAACTACAAAATTTTCTTTTTGCTTTTAACTAAACGATCAGAGGTAAAAACATGTTTTAAGAATGTAATGTAGTAACATTTTGCCATAAATGAAGTTTTAAGTAGATAATTAAAATAGTGCGTAATAATTGTAATAAAAACCAAATTAGAAAAAAACACTAACAGCACCTTTAATTTAAATTTAAAAATAACTACGGCATTATATGTTTTTGCGTTAATTTTAATAAAACAAAAGTGTATTATGTTATTCAGTAAATGCAAGAACCATAAATAAAAATAATTGTAATAAATAAAATTTTAGTAAATTAAATTTAATAAATAATTTGCATCAAGGTAAAAATAGTACCCATTGATAATAAGCTAATAAGATATTATATATAAAAACATGGTTTATTAGCTTTTTTAATATGGATTCTATAAAATGTCTGAATTATTCAAAACGTGAACTATCCCTGCTGAAAAAGACGGGTAATATCGGATGATTGCGGATAAAAAACCAAGCTAGTTTTATGTCCATTTATATCTGTTTTCATCCGACCCGGCATGTCGGTTTTTATCTGCAATTGCGGGTATAAATATTATCCGCGAACGTCGGGTTTTATCTGTTTAGTTCTATGTCTGCTTGCATCTGGTTTCATCCGCAAATACCTGTATAAGGGTTTATATCTGCATTCACCCGGTTTTATCTGATTTTATCCGCAAACGTCTGCTTTATCCGATTGTACCTGCAAACATCTGCTTTTAAACGTGAAGATCTACTTTCATCCGCGAACATCTATTTTAATCCACAAACATCTGATTTCATCCGCAAACATCTACTTTAGTCCGCAAAAGTCTGCTTCATCCGATTTCACCTGCAAACATCTGCTTATATCCACAAACATCTGTTTTAATCCGCAAACATCTAATTTAGTCCGCAAAACTCTAATTCATCCGATTTCACCTGCAAAAATCTGCTTTTATCCGCGAAGATCTGCTTTTATCTGTGAACGTCTGCTTTAATCCGCAAACTTCTGCTTTTATCCGCAAACATCTGCATTTATCCACGAACGCCTGCTTTCATTCGCGAACATCTGCTTTTATCCGCAAACATCTCATTTTATCCGCGAACATCTGCTTTTATCCGCGAACATCTGCTTTCATACGGTTTCACCCGCAAACATGCTTTTATCTGCAAACATCTGATATTATCCGCAAACATCTGCTTTTATCGGCAAACATCTGCTTTTATCCGCAAACATCTTATTTTATAGGCAAACATCTGCTTATATCCGCAAAGATCGGCTTTTATCTTTGAACATCTGCTTTAATCCACAAACATCTGTTTTAATCCGCAAACATCTAATTTAGTCCGCAAAACTCTGATTCATCCGATTTCACCTGCAAACATCTGCTTTTATCCGCGAAGATCTGCTTTTATCTGTGAACGTCTGCTTTAATCCGCAAACTTCTGCTTTTATCCGCAAACATCTGCATTTATCCGCGAACGCCTCCTTTAATCCGCAAACATCTGTTTTAATCCGCAAACATCTGATTCTATCTGCAAACATCTGCTTTTATCCGCAAACATCTGTTTTAATCTCCAAACATCTGCTTTTATTCGCAAACATCTATTTTAATCTGCAAACATCTGCTTTAATCCGCAAACATCTGATTTTATCTGCAAGCATATATGCTTTTATCCGCAAACATCTGATTTTACCCGCAAGCATCTTCTTTTATCGGCAAACATCTACTTTTATCCGTAAACATCTGATTTTAATCGCAAACATCTGCTTTTATCCGCAAACATCTGCTTTTATTCGCAAACATCTGATTTTATCCGCAAACATCTGATTTTAATCGCAAACATCTGATTTTATCCGCAAACATCTGCATTTATCCGCAAATATCTGCTTTTATCCGCGAACATCTGCAAACATCTGCTTTTAATTGCAAACCTCTGCTTTCATCCGCGTTCGATTTGCCTCCATTTCGGTCCTGTTTCGTACGCAAACGTCTGGTTTCATTAGCGCTTTTTGTTTTCCTTTTTCTCGTGTATACTTTAGTTTAGTTTACCTGCTTTGTCAAATTTTACTGAGCTTTAACTAACTGGTTGTTAGCCGTTCACGGCACACAACTTTATTATTTGAATAACCCTGCTGAAAAAAACTGATCGAAAATGGATCGAGTTTAAATCTCGATCCTTTTTGATCATTTTTGATAAGGGTTTTGTCTCCTGTTTTCGTGATCAAAAGGGATCGAGTTTCGATATTTGCGGATAAATGCAGATGTTTGCGGATAAAAGCAGATATTTGCGGATAAAAGCAGATGTTCGCGGATGAAAGCAGATGTTCGCGGATGATTGCAGATGTTCGCGGATAAAAGCAGATGTTTGCGGGTGAATGCGGGGGTGCACTAACCGGATGATATCAGGCGTTCGCAGATAAAAGCATGTTTGCGGGTGAAACCGTATGAAAGGAGACGTTCGCGGGTAAAAGCAGATGTTCGCGGATAAAAGCAGTTGTTCGCGGGTGATTGCAGATGTTCGCGGGTGATTGCAGATGTTCGCGGATAAAAGCAGATGTTGGCGGATAAAAGCATATGTTGGGGGGTGAAATTGGACTAGGCAGACGTTTGCGGATAAAAGCATATGCTCGCGGATAAACCCAGACGTAAGCAGACGTTTGCAGATGGTCCCGGACAAATTCAGATATAAACGAAACACAGTGAAGACGGTTAAAAATAGATGATTGCAGATGATTGCGGGGGTGCACTAACCGGACATAAAATACAACCAACCAGGTGTTCGCGGATATAGCGATGCGGACAAAAGCAGATGTTATCAGATGATATTTTTACCCGCTTTTATCCGGTTTTGACAAAGAATTTATACCCGCAATCAACCTTTATTTTCAGCAAGGATTGGAAATTGTAATCGCTTTAAAATTAAATTTTAAGCTTAGTTTTGCGGAGCCTAATAAAGACATTTTATAGAATCCATATTAAAAAATCTAAAAAAATATGTATTTTTATAATTTTGTTTTGTTAGTACAGACGCGGCATTATCTCATTATCAATGGGTACTATTTTTACCTAGCTGTTAGTGTTAGTCTGTCATTTTTATTTTTTTTTATAAATGTGTTTTTTAATTATAATTTTTAATAATTATTTTATAAATAAACGCAGTCATTATTTATCTATGTTAGTTTTATTTATTAAAAAAATAATAGTTTAGTATAATTTTTATTTATTTTATATATACACTTAATGTGTTGTTAAATTCAGTTTAATTTATTATTATAAATAGGTACCTATATTTTTAAAACTTCTGTATAGTATTTATGAACACCTATCTGCTAAAATTTCTTAGTATCTAATAAACCGTTTATTATAAAAATGTTATAATAAAATATTTCTACAGGTAAACCTTATAATAAACTATATAACTATAATTACTAATGTTAAAATTAACCAAACATTCAATTTTCTTAGTTTCTTTAAATCCACTGGTATTATTCACAAGTGGAACGCACTCAAAATGAAAACTCTGGCGAGGTGAAGGTTCAATTCTTTCTTTTAAAATACTATTTATATTATTTTCCTAAAAACGACAGTGCTAATCAACCGCGCTAAGCCTGAAAAACAAAATTATAATTAACCTGCAATTAGTAGATTACTTTTTACCATCTGTTATTAAATATTTAATTCATGTCTACATTACATTGTTGACCACACTTACACTTTTTCTATGACTTACACTTTGTATTTGTATACCCATAGATACGTCTATTATTCTTAATAATACCTTTATTCAGGAGTCCAGTTATACCATATTCCTATATCATTATTTCATTAACGTATTAAAAATATAAGATTTCTCTGAATAAAGTACATTTACAGAAATACATACTCGTGGCATTAAATGGCCTCCGTACACTGTTGCCAAATTTCGGAGACTAGTTGATTAGAAAATATTCTGAGGTATATTAACTGGTATACTTATTTTTATATACATCTGTATATAACAGTGGCGCCCTCATCGGAAGAACGGTGAACCCGATTGTGTAACTGTAGGTGTATCCAAGTGGAATTGACCTCCAGGCTAAAATTTGCCACACGTCCTAAAATGACCTTGACTACCCATAGTAAAGAGATACACGTGCTTACCATTTGGCCTCCGATTTTTCGAATGCGGCTCCGATTTCGGAGCCGCTTTCTTCACAAAAGTATCTATTTCGGATGTGTATTAGCCGTTTTGCATATATATATATATATATATATATATATATATATATGTATGCAAATACATTAAACATTTTGAAACGAATGTCAAACGATGCTGTCAATTTGTTTTTACACATAAATGTCACTTTACATTCGAGTTTTGCCTTTCCAATGAAAAGATTCATTTTCTAAGCAACGGTGCCATTACGAAATGTGACTTTTACATAGTGGTAAAATATAGATTTATAAAATCAACATTAAAGGCCTTTATTTAGTTATTTTTGGTTTTACAGGAGCTTTGGCAATAATTTTTCAAGTAGAATCAGCCCCTTTTTGCGTACAATTTGCGGACACCTTGTATAATAAAATTAATATTTTATTGAAATGGATGTTTATTTTCATTAAAAAAAAATTTAATCTTGTTATTGATTATTAAATAATTACTTTTTGTTATTAAGTATACATTTATTTGTGTTATTATTTACATTATCAAAATAAATAGATCTATAATATCGATATTAATATATATTAATTGATACAAATTTCACTTATAATTATAATAAAATATATTTTCATTTAATATTTTACGTTATTATAAAAAATTATAATTGCGCATACATACATATATGTGCATGTAACACCCTCCCTTTCCCCATGTCAAAAAATGAAGACATTGTCAATCACAATCTACATCCAAAAAGTCGAGTTTGAAAAAATATCCATAATCTCATAAACAAAAAAGATATTAAAATTCAGTTTTAATAGCCTTATTCAGAACTAATAAATACATTTTCTTACTTACAAGATTTTTCTATTTAATTAGATTAATCTGTAAATCTAAGTAGGTTTCCTTGTTTGTTTCTTTATAGTAGGCTATAAAAATGGTGAATGCACCGGGATTAATGACTAGATTCATAAACATTTATTTATTTTTAGTGATATATCCGATATAGAACACCACGTGGAAAAATATGGAACCGAATCACTAAGAGAACGTGACGAATGGGGCTACACGCCAGCCCATTGGGCTGCTTTGGATGGTAACGTCGAAATTATGCGCTACATAGTCGATAGAGGTAAAAAATAAATAAAATGAATCAAAACCTAAAAAAAACAACATATTTTAGGGGCCGCCATAGACCTGCCCTGTTTGGGCACCCAGGGCCCGCGCCCCATACACTGGGCATGCCGAAAAGGCCACGCAGCAGTCGTGCAAGTTTTGTTGCAAGCCGGTGTAGCTGTCAATGCTGCGGATTTTAAAGGCCTAACTCCCTTAATGACCGCTTGCATGTTTGGTCGAACTGCCACAGCAGCTTATCTGTTAGGTAAGATGGGTGAATATCAAAGATATTGTTAATAGAATTCATAGACAAACATATTTTTTAAGGTATGGGAGCTTTAAACCACCTTCTAGACATCAATGGTGATACGGCAATGCATTGGGCAGCTTACAAGGGTCATGCCGATTTAATAAAACTCCTGATGTACTCAGGGGCAAATCTCCAAAAACCTGACCATTTTGGATCCACCCCTTTGCATCTAGCTTGCCTATCAGGCAGTGTAACCTGTGTTAAACTTCTTTGCGAAAAAGTAGGTTCATCTTCATAAAAATAGTATGTTCTTTGAAAAAAACGTTTTTATAGAGTAATGTAGACCTAGAACCTCTAGACAAAAACGACAAGACTCCTCTCATGCTAGCTCAAAGTCACAGGCATGGAGACATAGTGGAGTTGCTGCAGTCAGAAATAAAAAAAAGATCAAGTTGGTTCCCACCAATGAACGAAGTCTGGGGTTTATTTTTCGGAAAAGCTGACAACTCCAAAGCACCCTTATTGTTTTTTATGTGCTCTGTCTTGCTGTGGGGATATCCAATGTATATTATAAGGGTAATGCTGTTATCTAGCTTAGGTTGACATTCTTAAGATACATGAACTTTAACAAAAAGTCATCTAATAATAACGATTTCTTTCTAGTGTATTCCTATCACCTGGACAGTACTACGTGGTTCGCACTACTGCTTCATCTATTGGAACATCGTAATGTGGGTATGCTGGCTGATAGCCAACAGAAAAAACCCTGGTTATATACCAATGAATTCCGAATCATACTACAGAGCAATAAAGCAAATACCTTACTTCGACAAATGGAAAAAACGTAACGCCTTGCTGAACCGCCTTTGCCATACATGTCGATGTCTAAGACCATTAAGAGCAAAACATTGCAGAATATGCAATAGATGTGTGTCTTACTTTGATCACCACTGTCCTTTTATCTATAACTGCGTTGGGTTGCGTAATAGAACGTGGTTTTTTCTATTCGTGATGAGTATAGCTATCAACTGCAGTTTCACCATATATTTTGCCACGTATTGTATCACCATAGAAGGTTTTGGAATATGGTATATATTGGGGCTTCTAGAAGCTTTTGTCTTCTCTGGGTTGGGATGGATTTTGACCTGCACATCAGTAAGTATCAATTATGTCTTCTTGAATTAAAAATGTGTATAAAGTTAAAATAGAGACAAGCTTAAATTACCATAAGCCAAAATGAAGATTGCTTCATTAGGTTTTCGAGAAATCTAATTCTCAAGGTATTTTTTCATCACAAAACTTGTTACGCCATCTGAACGTGCTTTAGTGCTAAGTTATTGAAAAGATTTTAACTTTAAAGAGCAAAGGTAGTATTTTAACTTGGCATAACGAGTTCTGTGAATGTAACAAAGCCCGTTTTTCCTACTTTTTGACTTGACGTTATGGTGTACTTCTGAGGTCGTATTCAAACTCTTTAAAATATAGTACCTATACTATTTCTCTTTTAGGTTCTCCATGCTTGTATGAATCTGACAACAAACGAAATGTTCAACTATAAAAGATACACTTATCTAAGAGATAAAAGAGGAAAATACTTTAATCCATTTTCAAGAGGCCCCATACTCAACCTGGTAGAATTCTTCTTTTGCACCCCTGAGGATTACGAGGACGATTTTGGTTACGAATACATATGATATAGAAAAAATAGTAATAAATCACCCAAATAGCTTCCTATTACACATGGACAGCCTTATTGCCTTTAATTGCTGTGATAAAAAAACCTAACTTTGCTTGAAAATGTCCATGATTTTCACACAGTATTACTTTTTTCACTTCAAAAGTGTAACGTTTTTTGCAATGCAAAATAAGTTTGTTATATTAACTAACGTGTTTTTGTATTCAGGCTTAGAGCTAAAGGTTTTTACATTAAGAGATGGATTTCTGAAATTTGCGACTAAACTTTCTATAGAAAATGATACTTATGGAACCAATCAGACCACGGCATTTTCTATCGCACCAAGTGTGCTGTGGAGAATACCGTGCTCTATACAGATTATTTGTTATAAAAAGTAAAGTCGCAAATTTTAAGAACAAGTTTAAAATACAACAGCTCTTAATATCATATAATATTAATAAATTTTTAAATAATAATTCCATCATTATCTTCACTTACCTTTCCTAATCTAAAATAGGCCTGTCCTGGTTTTGGGGACTCTGACCTTTCTATGAAAAGAAGAGAAAGTTATGAAATGGGTCAACGAGATTTTTAAACATGTTTAGTTTTTTATTGTTCAATCGGTTAAAAACTACTAATTGGTTCTAGGAGTCAACGTCCGGGCCAAAATGGCTTTCATTTTGAGTTTATGTGTCGTTCAACTTTAAAAAAGGTCGTCCGCCTTTGTAAGACTGTACCAAACGATTTTTGTTGATAGATGGATGGTTTTTAAAGGTTTGCTGAGAAAAAAGTTAAAAAACTGAAATTTGTAAAAAAAAAATTTTCAAAAAATACAAAATCCACTTGCATTAAAAAAATAAAAAAAAACACAATTGTACTAAAATTATCTTTTCAATGGAAAATGTCCAAAATTATGATTAAAATTACAAAGAAACTGAAACCGTTTTGTTTTATATTTTTAAATCACCCAAAAGTTTTGATATTTTGTAAACTATATTTTCTGTGATTTTGAGGATATACCAACAAAATACGATTTATTGGTTTTACCATTACAAAGAGAAAATATTTATTGATATATACGGAAATTTTATATCATAGCCTTTTTGTGAAAGCTATAGACCACAAAACGGTTCAATGGAAGTTTAAGGGTATACCGACAAAAATACGACATACATTAAATACTTTAATTTAAACTATTTGGAAAATTACAATGCTTTAAATAATTTGTAAATTCTTGAAAACTAACAAAAATAAAGATAATAAAACGAAATTGACAAGGTATAGTATAATACCGACAAAATTAGGACTTTAAAAATGTAATCAAAATCTGACAATGTACCCTGATAGCAAAATTTGATTTTAAGAATCTTCTAAAAAGTTACGACCCGGAATAATGGAATATTCTTAGAACCTTCCCTTATTGCTAAGAATGTTCTTAGAGACTTTTAAAACATTCAATAGATACCCTTTTAATGATGCAATTAGATTCTTAAAAGCTTCTTAAAACCTTCCTAAAAAGCATCCTATAGGATGCTTATAAGAACATTTTAAGAATACGTTTTTGGAATGTTCTTAGAAGGTTTCTTATGGAGCTTCTAGGAAGCTTTTGAGAATATTTCCAAATATGTCAGATACCCACGTTCTAATATGTTGTATTCTACATTCGTAAAATTCTTCAGGAGACAACAAATACGCCTCACTGTCAGAATATGACAGTGAAATGTATATGTCGTCCCCTTAAAATTTTGCGACATATTATTATATGTATATTTATTTAAAAATAATAAATAAACAATTTGACCTCTAAACCATAAGTTGTATGACATTATTTCATAAAAAGTAAAATTGGAAATTTTTGTGGGATAAGTCAGATTAGATTGAAGTTGAAGATAGTTAGGATTATTTTACATAAAAATGTAAATTCAGAAACAAAAAATCGGTATACAAATTAATAAATATTTATTTTTAACACAAAGTAAAATACCTATAGTAAAAGTATTTTTGTTATCGAATATTGTTTTAATTTGAAAAATAACTATTAAAAAATTTTGGATTGTGTTTTTTACATAGTATTTAATACTTATTACTAATTAGGTACTTAAGTAAGTATAGGTATATACCTTTATACGTAGTTTATGGTATATTTTACTATTATATAGGAAACTGAACTAAATATGCAGAGGAATATTCCTAAATGAACTTTCTATAGCAATTACTTTCTTAACATTCTAAGCATATGTTTAGAGTAGACTAATTTTTACCACTAAAACTTTGCACCTTCTAAGAACCTGCCTATAGGCCAGTAAGAATATTCTTAGGATCGTGCATGATCCTAAGAATATTCTCACTGGAAGGTTTAAAAAACATTCTTAGAATAAAGTGTGCTATCAGGGTAAAAGTTACACAGTATTTAAAAAATATGACAAGTTGGGCGCCAAAATTTAAAAAATCAAATTTCTAGTATTGATAGAATTTTAACGAATTTTTTCGGGAATGCAAACAAAAATACAAAATTTTTTATTAATTTTATATTAATATACCCTAATAATTATAATAATTATTGTTTTAAAAATTATATGATTTTAAATTTGACCAAATATTTTAATAGTTTAAACAAAAATGCACTATTTTAAAAAACAATTATTGGTTTTACACAAACATTTTATTAGGATTTTTAAGGGTATCGAAAAAAATTAAATCAGTAGATATACTAAAACTTTGATGAGAAGGACGCTTAAAAATCTCGTTTGGTTTGGTCCGTCTTCCAAAAAAAGGCGACTGAAAACTTGATGCGGCGCAAAACAGCCCTGACCAGGCCCAATTACTTTTTTAATGGAAAATATTTTTTGTATTTTTGTTTCTTATTTTTCTGAGGAGTTGTTTGACCCGTCTGCCTGTTTTCGGATGGGTCCTAAGCTCTTAAATGTTGCACTGGTCAGTGAGCGAACACAAGAAAGAATAACATTGTGCAGAATTTTATTAAATAATTATAATTATTTTGTCGAAAGTTGTTTTTTTTCGTTGAAAAATATACATATTTAGGTGAAAAGGTGAGTGCGTATATCTATAGAAAAACTAATACATTATTTATTTATATTTTTTTTACATTTGAATGCAACTATTTTAAAAATACGACAATAGTTATTAGGATGTGGTCCTAAACTATTCAACTATGCTATTACACAATGTCTTAAATTACTTGGTACAGTTGACATAAAAAGCTTAACATTTTTTTAATAAAGGTTTTACAAAAAATCAAACATTTTTATTAAAATCACATCAAAAGTGTAGAAATTACAATTTTTGCATTTGGCGCCTATCTTGTCAAACTTTTTTAACCGCTGTGTAATTTTTACAATTTTTGTTTAATTTTAATAAAATTTTCAGGGTATACAAGAAAAGTACCCTCTGGTCACATTTATATAACCATATATTTTTTTGACGGTAACATTAATAAAGTCCAATTATTCAGATGAAAATTTGAGATTTTATTTTTTAAACATAATACAAAAACCGTTAAAATTTCAAAACCTTTTATGCTGACTGTACCGAAAAACTGTATTTCGTAAACCATATGTAGATAGATAGGATTTTTAAGCTTGGAATAATACAAAATTTAGAAACTTTACCAATAAATTCTTGAATATATTAATTTAGTTATAATTATAATTTATTTACCACAAATAAAAAATATAAACGTATTATGGTTTGGAATTAACAAATGAAACTTAGGAAATTTACTATAAGGTTTCCTGGCGTCGGTTTTACGTTCATTGATATGATAATTGTTTGATAATTTTACAACAATTAAAAAGTTTTTTGTTTTGCGGTCAAAATACTTGTTTAAAGTGATTTTTATTAAAATGCTATTTTTGACATCATTCAAGTTTTAGTTTTGTATAAGCTTCATATTTTTTTTATTATTGTTGTTTGAATTTGAATGATATAAAGCAATTTTTAAATTTAGCTCTGTAACTTTTTCAAAATCAATAATTTTAATAAAAAAATTAGGATATGCAACAAACAAACTAAAAGTTGTTTTTTGTAGGTATACCCACAAACAAACTAAAAGTTGTTTTTTTGTAGATATACCGTATAACTTTCTAATAAACACAAATAATATGATTTTAATAAAAAATGTAGGGAATACCAAATATATAGCACGCTCTTTTTAACAGTGTCACCAGAAAGTAGTATTTTTGTTGGTATACCCTAAAAATCATTAAAAACAATTTAATTTAATTTAATTAACACCAAACGTTTCTATATGATCTTTAAGGGTATACCGACAAAAATACGAAATTAATTAAGCCAATCAAATAGAGAATATAATTTATTATAAATTTCATATTTTTTATTATTGTTGCATAAGTTACAGAGCAAGTGAAATTTAAAGAAATTTTCAAAATATAAGTTGGCTTTGTAACAGTTACAGAGCTTTAAATTTAAGTGAAATTTAAAGAAATTGAAGGCTCTGTAAATTTTTTAAAGTCAATATAATTTGAATAAAAAAAAAATTAGGATGATCTAGTATAACCAAATTTTTTTATTTTTGTAGGTATACCCTAAAATTTCTTAATAAACAATTTTTGGAATAAACACAAAACGTTTCCATAGGATTTTTAAGGGTATATCGACAAAAATACCACATTTTTGTTAAAACCATTAAAAAGGTTGCATATTTGTTCGAACCCTAAACATTTAATATATTTTAAAGTATTTTTGTAAATGTTACAAAAACGACTTTGTAAAGCTCTGTAACATTTAAAAAAATTATTTGATTTTGATGACATTTTTTGGATTTACTAAAAAAATATAAACTTTTTAGTGGTGTCAACAAAAAGTCCTATTTTGTTGATATACCTACCCAAATATTTCCATAAAACAAATTTTCAAAATTACCAAATTTTGCAAATTTTTTGGCGTTTCCAAAATTGCTGTAGCATGTCTAAAAATAATGACAATAAAACAATTGTTTGTTTAGTAACGTTTTTCACGTAAAATTTTTAATTAAATAAGTGGTAACTTAATTACGTAATTAATTAAAATTCTTATCATTTTGTTAGGTCTTCCTCAGCGTATATCAACAAATAAAAAGCTAGGATGCGCTGGTTCAAACAAAAATGAGACTGAGTTTAAGTGTATAAAAGGCGGGCTAGTCGGAAATCCAAATCTTAGTCTATGTGTCAACGCCTGAAGAAAGAAGACTCCACTACATAGGCCCACTTATACACCATTGAAAATGAATCAAGTCAAATTATATTCGAAAAATAACATAATGCAAAAAACTGATGCTACGTATCTGCTTGATAACTACCTCAGGTTGGTGAAATTTAAGAAATCAGAAAAAGAAAAATTTTTTGACATCGGTTCAGGAGATGGTAGTGTCACAATGGAGTTGTTATTACCAAGAATACCTGAAAATTTCGCCAAATTCGTTGGCTGCGATATATCAGAAGACATGGTGAAATTTTCGAAATCAAAAGTCGTTGATCCAAGAATAGATTTCGTTATTTTAGATATTGAAAACAACTCTTTACCTATAAAAATGGTTAATGAGTTTGATCACGTTTTCTCCTTTTACTGTTTACACTGGATACAAAATCAAAAGTAAGTACTTTTTACTAAATACGGTCGTATTTTTGTTGGTATCTCTAAAATTAATTAATTCCTCGTGTATGTCAAAGAGATAGTAGGTTGGTTAATTAAATACAAATAGGTTGGAGTTACTGTCAAACCCTGTAGAAATAATGGTGTCCCCCAAGGATCAATCCTTGGACCTTTACTCTTCATATTGTTTGTAAATTATCTGATAACAAGTGATGTAGGTAATGAAAAAATATTAATGTTTGCCGATGACACAGCAGCACTTTACCAAGGTAAAACTTTTAAAATGCTGACTTCGACTTTAACTTCATCTTAAGAAAACATGTTTCATTGGTTCAATAAGAATGGAATGAAACTTAATTTAAACAAAAACCCAGTACATTAAGAGTATGGATTTTTAAATATCCTTCGAATTTATATTGAAAATGGTTTAAAGATTGAATTGGGTTTATCAATAAAAATTTTGTTTCCAATCTTAGACAACCTGGAGAAAACAAACAAAATATGTCTTAAACAAAATAAATAAATTTTATTATTTGCTCCCAACTTTAAATTTTTTTGTATCAAAAAATGCTTAGTGTCTATATGTATATTCGAATCTAAGGTATGGCATTATTTTTTGGGGGGATTCAGCTCATATATCGTATCTTTTAATTTAAAAAAAATATATATTCGAAGTATATTTAATCTTAAACCTACAGAATAGAGCAAACATATTTTTATTCAAAATAAATTACTTAATTTGTCTGATATTTACATTTTTGAAATTTGCGTATTTTATAAAAAAACTGTATGTTATTTGAACAAACTAATCGTAATCACACTTACTTAACAAGAAATAAAGGATTATTAAATAAAACAAACTAAAATTAACACTGTCTATAGTGGTATTTCTAACCACGCTTTATTTTTAAATAGCATTCTTCCATATAGCCTTAAAAATCTTGATATTAAAAAAATTTTGAAAAAATGAATGTTTAATGTAGATCATAAATAATATGTATACTTTTTATACTCTGTATTTGTTAATATGAATTAAGCAAGTGGTAATTTTATGTTATATCTACATATATATTTTGTTCTTTTTATATTTAAAGTTTTTTTTGTCCGGACGTGTTCTCTGTTACAATCTTTTTTAAACAAATAAAGATATTTCTATTTCTATTTGTGAAAGTTACAGACCTTTAAAGTCGAGCAATTTATGAAAGTTTGAGGTCTTGTTTTAGGGTATATATAATAGGGTGGGCCAAAAAAAACTTTTAATTTTTTTTTCTATAGTTACCAGATGACGAAAAAAAATTCTGATAAAGTTTGAGCTCTTAATATTGATCATAAGAGGTGGCTCATTGCGATTTTTTATTTTCCATTTAAATAACACGTAAAAAAACATTTTTTTTTAATTTTATTGCGTTTTAACGAATCGGTGAGTTGTAGAAATCAATACATATTCTTGTAGGGAATTGAACGATCTACAAAAAAGATCAGATATGATTTTTTGATTAGTCGACACGTTTAAAAGTTATTTGAGGTTAAAGTTCAACCTCAAATATAATACTATAGTAAATGATGACTTGTATAGTTTTTCATACTCTATTAGGAAATATTGGCTCAAAATCATGAAATATCATATTTTTCGTAAAGTTTATCGAAAATTCTTCGGTAAAACAATACAATTTTTTACGAAATATCAATAATCGTCAAAAACCGTTTTTTCTATACTTGAATTAGATCAATTAAAATTAAAAAGTTATTGCATAACTTGTACTATCAAATATTTGTTGTACATTCTTATTGATAAAGTCAATGGGTAAATCAAATATATTATATATGTATATTTGATACTTTTGCGAGTAGTTAAAAACCACCGGCAAAAATATATTGATTCTAAGATAGGTAGTGAAAAAGTACAAGTTATGGAATAACATTTTTTATTTTAATTGAAAAATTATTGAATCATGGCTTTTATTACTCTACATTACCTGATAGTCAAGTGTAAATAGAATATTTATTATTTTTTAAGAAAATGATTAATTTTTTTGTCATCACGCAGGTAAAGAAAAAATTTCGAATTAAAAAAAATTAAATATAGGAAAAAACCGTTTTTTCACGATTATTGATATTTCGTAAAAATTGTATTGTTTTACCGAAGAACACTCGATAAACTTCACGAAAAATATGATATTTAATGTTTTTGAGACAATATTTCGTGATAGAGTATGAAGAACTATAAAAGTCATCATTTACTATTTGAAGTTGAACTTTAACCTCAAATAACTTTTAAAAGAGTCGAATATGCAAAAAATCATATCAGATCTTTTTTGTAGATTGTTCAATTCCCTACAAGAATATGTATTGATTTCTACAACTCAATGATTCGTTAAAACGCAATAAAATTCCAAACAAAAAAATGTATTTTCCCGTGTTATTTAAATGGAAAATAAAAAATCGCGATGAGCCACCTCTTAATATTGATATTAAGAGCTCAAACTTTATCAGAATTTTTTTTTCGTCATCTTGGACGATATTTTTATGGTAGCTAAAGAAAAGAAAATTACAAGTTTTTTTTGGCCCACCCTAATATATACCCTATACCTTATAAGGACAAAAGTACGGCATTTATTTTATGGGGGTTTAAAATAGCAAACTTATCTAAAATTTTTATAAAAATCCATTTATTCTCCTATGTAGCTGTAGAAATTATAGCAAACTTAAGCTCTCAAAAATCTATCTAAAATATTAATGGATTTTATTTATTTTATATTTTAAGGGTATACTAACAAAAACACATTTTAGAGAATGCACTGTTTTTTGGTAAGCCTCCAAAGTTTGATCAAAATCGATTAATTTTTGTGGATGTTACAGAGCTTTTAAATCATTACAAGCCTTAATAAAGCTCTGTATTTTTCACAATTTTAATAAATTTTTAACAAAATTTGTTGTGAGTACTTACAAAAATACGCTCTATCACACCGCACCTAATTGACTGGGCGCATCCACCAAACTCACCTTCTTTCTCTTTCAGACAAGCTTTCCAAAATATCTACAACATGATGGCGCCCGGTGGAGATCTTCTGACAATTTTTTTGGCGAGCAATCCTATCTACGATATTTACGAATCAATGGCGGCAAATGAAAAATGGCTACCCTACATGAAAAACTTCAAAAGCTATATATCGCCTTATCACTTCTACGACCAACCTTTGAAGGAACTGGAGAAAATTTTGAAAGAAGCCGGGTTTTCCATACATTTGTGTCGACTGGAAAATCGCAACTTTACTTTTAATAGCTTGGATGTAATGGAGAGTAAGATTTTTATATTTTTTGGGTTATTAGATGTTCATTTAAGTTTTTTTCAGGAGCTACGAAAGCGGTAAATCCTTTCCTGGAAAATATTCCTGAAGATAAATTGGAAAACTATCTGAATGATTTTGTTGAGGAGGTTAGAAAGTTGAATTCTGCCAGAATTATTAACGGCAATAATAATAACAATAACGAGGGAAGAGTTTATTTTACATATAAATTGTTTGTAGTTTTTGCTTCTAAGCCTGACAAAAATTAGGCTGTCAATGATTTTTTTACAGTAAAAGAGATTTTGTGATGACTTAAACTTTTAAAATTAATCGAAAACATGTTGTATGACTTTTTGCAAAATTTAAGGTGCTATCAATATTTCGAAGATCGATTTTTCACGTTTAAGTCAATAGCAGCCTTGTATTGTTACAGTATATTTTTTGGGTTTAAATAAGGATATTTTTAAGAGAGAAAGACATGGGGTATTATTGTATTTATTTATTTTTACATTTGTTGAGATTTGATATACTATTTTTTTTAAATAAATTCTACATTATTCACACCATATTTCATTGATAGTAAGGCCAAAAAGGGTTGTAACTATATGTCGTTAAAGGTTTTACTTCAGGTATGAACTCACATATAGTGCCTTTAATAAGAACATCAATGGGGGCAAAGAAAACTCTAAAATTGATATCTTTGTAGTCCAATTTTGCAATTAAAAAGTTCGACATTCTATCCGATATAACCCATAGGTTCTTCTGACGATCTACCTTGACATCAGCAGGGAATATCAACTCCCTATCGTCTCTATCCACGATGTCAACGTTTTGTTCATTGTAGGGTTTCTGAGAGTTCCAGCAACCAACAGCGTTCTGATCTATGAGGTTGAAGAATTGAACTCCATTACCATCCATGACTCTCGACGTGGTATGTGAGTTTGGACCACGTTCTCCTAAAGCGATAAAGTCTTTATAACTATCTTCAACTCTGGATTCATTACGTAGAATGTTGGTGCTGACAGCGAACTCTCTATGGCTCGCCAGAGGGCTGAAGTACATGGTTCTAGAACCATCAGGGTGTCTAGGTGTCAGAGACATTCCGAAAATCCCTTCTTCAAACCACTGAAAGTTCAAACCATCTATAGTGAAGTCACCACGAAGTGGATCTGGGTAGAAGAAGCTATGTTGGAACCTCCACGATTTGTTATCTTTCCAGGAATACACTATTAAACCATACCCCAATTCATCACTGAAATATGCGTAAGCATCATCACAAGATTTTCCTAAATCTACAGCAATACTAGCTATGAAGGTATTGGCGTTGGTATCCTCAGGTCTAAACTCATAACGTCTAAGTCTCTGGTTGGTCTTTAGATCAAAGATATTCAAAGCATAAGGGCAAGGGTTTTGCGTGGTGTTTCCTATACCGAAAGTACCGGTATCTAAGACCCACAATCTATCGCATTTATCGGCTTTCATTCTGTATACTGTCGATAGGCCGTTTTGACAGTTACCAAGCTCGTTACCTTCCCAGCTTGGGTAAGGGGTTAAAGCTGGCGATTTTGTTGTTAGATATGAGTCTAATTTCACGTAGTTTAAGGTTGATGGTATACCTAAAAATAAAATAGTTCTATTTTTGTTGGTAAACTCTAAACAAAAAAAAATTCTAAAGACTAAGCGTATCCAACAAATTGAATCATTTCTTTTTAAGATCTGAACTAAAAATGAGAAACGGACGGTGTTAACATACTAAGAGATATTTTTAATTAGATAAAAAATATCATATAAGAATTTTTATTCTCTTATATTTAATTTTTATGCCAAAATGATATTATTTAATTAAATAAGCAAATTAATTAGTTGAATGTAATATTTTTTATTTAGATTAAAAGTTTGGACGCCCCTGGTATTCCAAACTAATTCTGTCGCTAGATGGCGGCACAATAACTGGGATCCACATACTTCCACACATATACAAATCATTTCTAACTGAGACTGTTTCCATTTCGTGGGGGTAAAGTAGGGGAAATGTTCTCACAGGGTAGCGGGCATTGAGGCGCATGCGTCAGCTGCATTGCCGGTTTAAAAAAAAATAACATATTTTTCTCCCTATTTAAGAAGTATAATAAATACTTTTTTATAAATTGGATATAAATTGTATGAAAAAAGCATTTAACAATAATAAACTCACAAAATGATGATATTTTAGATTTTATAATGGCATTTTTATAAAAGCAAGAATTTGGCAACATCGTATTTTGATCACGATTATCGTATCCAGGGGCGTGCTGGGCCGCAGGGACACCGGGAGAAATCCCGGTGGGCCGGTGGTCCGGAGGGCTAAGTGGGCCGGTGTGCCGGAGGGCTATGTAGGCAGCATGCCGCAGCACGTGGTCAATTAAAAACTTTTTTAGTTGAGTTATGTATAAATATCATAATTATTTTACACATACCATGCATGCCAGCCTGCCAGCTTTGTTTCTTTTTTTGAGATTGTATATTGTTTATAAGTTTCCTGAGCGATGATAATTTGTATTAGTTTTTATTTTAAGTGCAATGCTATATGTTTTAGCATTGTGTAAAATATTGTCTGGTTGTGTTTGTTGCCTGTTTTTTTTTCAAGAATTTAATTTATACTTTATGTTATTAATTATTAATATATTAATAAATGTTTGAAATTTTTTAACTTGATTTTGTTCACCCCCCATTTTTTGTGTAGTTGGCCGATTTTTCTGAATTTCCCGGGCCGGTCTGATATAGCCAGCACGCCCCTGATCGTATCATAGCCAAAATATTTTTATGATAGACATATAAATATATATCAATTTGTTTTCTGTTGTATACCAATTGTTTTGGCATTGTTTTTTTCCATTGTTTTTACGAGATTTTAGTGGATTTTACATAATATGCATATTATGCCACTTTTTACTTTTTATAAAGCTAAATCAAAAAAATGTTTGTAAGCTTAACCCAGGCTATGGAACCAAATAATTTAGAAAAAATTTATATAACCTAAATTTTATTTAGTTGACAATTCGTATCATAAGTGGACGTATTAATTTATCTATCTAATGTTATGTGATGTCTATGGTATCATATATTTTAAATCCCCCACTTATGAACTGACTATGCGCATAAAGGAAAATGGCACACTACGAGAACAATTTTCCCCTTAGAAACGGGAACAAGGTCATCTATACAAAATATAGGCAATAAGCGGTATATGTGTGGAAGTATGTGCTGGGATCAGTATACTGTCCTTGTTCAGCACACGCTGGGTCAGTGCGAGATCGGACTCAGATACGTCCTAGATCCCAGTGATTGTGCCGCCATCTATACACGTTAGTTTGTAGTTAGAGTGGGTCGGTTTTTGTGGCGTTTGGAATAACAGGGGTATCCAATCTCTCAATCAGTCGGAATTAAAAATATCACATTCAATTAAAAATATGTGCATTATTAAAAAAATTAAATCGAATTAAAAATTTCTCCTATGATATTTTTAATTTAGCTAATTAAAATATGCGTTTAACTAAAAAATACAAATCCAAGAAACAGATATTTTAAATTCACTAAATTAAAAATATCTCACGGTACGTTGAAAATACGTTTAACCCAAAAGTGCGGACACTCAAAATTTTTTTTTATTTTATGATTCTAGAAGGTCGACCGATCATTTTAAGCCCAAAATAGGTCAATAGGCCAATAGGTCAAAGGTCATCCCTTCGAGGAAATCTGATGGTATATTTTATTGTGGTGGGGCAAATTTAATTCATAATATGTAACTAAAATCATATTTATTTCAAAAAAAATTAATTGTTTTTTATAAAAAAGTTAATTTATCACACAGAAAAAACGCTAGCATAGCATGAATGGGTGAGCCATTAAACCAATGGGATCTTGTAATCCGTATTCCTGAATAACAGTTCCTATAATACCAATAGGTAGTTAGCACTTGGTTTATAATCGTTTACTGTTTTTAAATTAACAACAAAAGTTATCGCTCCTAAATCTATTGATATTCATATTGATATTTATTTGTTATTGCATTAAATATTAATTTGATTTATTTAATAACGTTACTATTGTATGTATACTATGTATACATTTAACGCAATAAATTCTTTGTCATTTAGGCAAAATATTTCCCTATTTTGGTTTAATAGTAATTAATTGAGCAAATAACAATTTAGATTGCTTCATTTTTAATGCATTCAATGACAGCGCTGTTCTTGGTACTATGTTAGATTTTTTTCTGTGCAGGGTCGTACTCTTCAAAAGTAGATCCAAGTAAAAAATATCGATGTTAATAATTTTTGTTCGAAATATGTGTTGAAAAAAATAAATTTTATTAAACTTATTAAAACTTAATCAAACTTTGGTAAAACTAAACATAAATAATCTAAGATTTACCTAAAATAATCTGATTTAAAAAGTCGGCCATGCCCAATTTAACATTTAGGTAACTTTGTTGACATGGCAACAAAACAATTATTTATCAGTATTTAGAAACATTTAAGTTGTTTAGGTTCTTAGTATTTTTTCTAAAAAGCCATGGGAAAGAAAAACACACGAATAAAATCGTTCAGGGATTTGTTTAGTAAGTTTCGGCAAGACCAAAAGCATGTTTAATATACTCTCTAAAAATGAATTAGTCAAAAATGACTAATTTAATACTTATTAGTGGCTGCTTTTTCACTTGTACCATGGTTAAACATGGAATACCAAGGTTTTCCAAAATTTAACAGCCAATTCTTATGTAAAATTGTCCCCTGAATCCGAAAATACAAATACAATACAATACAAACATAGTGTTCGCACTTTTGGGTTAAACGTATTTTCAACCTACCGTGATCTGTTTGGCATAAAAATTAAATCTAATTTTTAATTAAGCAAATTAAAATTATTTGTTTAACAAAAAAAGTAAATATTTTAAATTAAATACATTATTTCATAAATAACGAATAAATAATAACGAAGGTAAACAACAAAAAGGCGTTAAAAGATACAAACCTGAACACGAAGAATGTGAGATATTTAAAAGTACCAAAATAATGCCAAGAACGCCACCAAAACAAAAGAAGAAAATAGGAAAATAAAAATGTTTGAATCATTGCAAACCAACATAAGCAACATACAAATAGATTTACAAGACATAAAAAAAGGAATGCAACTACAAAGAGAAGAAATAATAGCAATAAAAGAAGAACTTAATAATAACAAACAGGAATGGAAAATAGAAAAAGAGGAAATGGACAAAAAATTATATAAACGGAGGAAAGACTAGAGAGATTAGAGAAAGAAAAGATACGCAACAACATAGTTATCACAGGAATTAAAATAGACTTTGAAGAAAAAAAGAATAAATAAATCAATTAAAAACCACAGTTGAAAGAGAAATGGGAAAAAAAAGTTCAAATTAATAATGCCATAAAACTTAAAGAAGACTCTTTTATAGCAGAATTGGGAAACTGGGAAGATAAATTAGAAGTAATGAAAAGGAAGAAAATACTTAAAGGAAGAAATATATACATAGTAGGAGAACTAACCAAAGGAGAAAGAGAAGTACAAAAAACTTAAGAGATATAGCATGCAAGAGAAAAAAAGATATAAGGGAGATAAAGTCAAAGTTATGTACCAAAAACTTGAAATAAATGGTATAGTCTGCAAATGGAATAAAAAAGACAAAAAAATCGAAAATATAGAGACACAAAAAACTAATAAATAATAATAATAATAATATATCGGACTGCTATATACAAGACGAAACAGGCAACGAAAAGGAAATACGAAATGATAATCAGCAAAAAAAGAAAATATAAAAAATCTGGAAAATTGGAACATGAAACATTGAAAGCATACAAGGCAAATAAAATGAACTAGAAGAAGAATTTCAAGAAGCAGAATTAGACGTTTTGGCAATTACTGAAACTAAGAAAAAGGGACAAGGTATGATGAAGCCACCCAATAATAATATACTAATTTTTAGAGGAGTGAAAACAATAGAAAGAGCAGCTGCTGGAGTCGGGTTTATAATACACAAAAAAATCGAAGAGAAAATAGAAGGATGGAAGGCTTGGTCTGAAAGACAGTAGAAATAAAAGACGAAAGTAAAAACAAAACGAAAACAATTATTATAGTCTATGGACCCAATGAAAATGATTTAAAAGAAATAAAAGACAAATTTTGGGAAAAATTATCATTAGTAACAGAGAAATCTAGGGGCGAAATATACATAGCAGGAGATTTTAATAGCAGAGTAGGGAAAAAAGATAAAATATATAATAGAGTAATAGGTAATTTTGGAGAAAATGCAGTGATCATTTTTAGTCGTAACAAAACACAAAGCTGAAAACGAAAGAATAAGGTATTATAAACTGAGAAATACGGAAATAGCATTGAAATTTGAAGAACTAATATATAAAAGCCTTGATAAATATAAAGAAACTACAGAAAATATGAATATTGAACAGATGTGGGCATACTTTAAGAACATAGTAATTAAAACAGCAAAAGGTGGACAGAAGAAATAAAAAAGCAAACTAAAATAAAAAGCAACATGGAAAAATTATTTAGTAAAAAAAACAATGGAGAACTACAAATTATACAAAAAGGAAAGGAAAAAAGTTAAAGAAATGGTATTAAATGCGAAAGAAAAATCGTAGATAGAATTCGGAGAAAAAATGGAGAAAAATTTTAAAGAAAATCAAAAACTATTCTACAACGTACTGAAAACAATGAGGAAAAAAAGAGATGCCAATAAATAATGTCAAGAATAAAAATGAAGAAATCCTAACAGAAGATCGCAAATTATGGACCGATGGAAAGAACATTTCCAAGAACTACTAGGAGATAGTCAAGAAATAGAAAAAGAAAACAATACAGAAAACAGACAAGAAGAAAACATAACAGAAGAACAATTAGAAAAAATATTAATGAAAGAACTGAAAGAAACAATAAAAACACTAAAAAATGGAACACCAGGACACGACAAAATAACCACAGAGATGTGCAAGAATTTGGGACAAAAACTAAATGAAATACTGCTAGACATATACAACAAAGTATGGAAAGAAGAAAAACTACCTACCGACTGGGAAATGACTTTAATTGTACCAATACACAAAAAGGGTGAAATAAAGGATTGTAACAATTATAGAGGAATAACACTACTAAGCACAGCTATGAAGTTATTCGAACAGTTAATAGATAAAAAAACTAGACCAATAATTGAAAATACGTTGGAAGAATCGCAAAGTGGATTTCGAAAGAGAAGAAGTATACAAGATCACAAATTTACACTAAAACAATTAACACAAAAAATAATACAGCAAGAAAAGAAATTATATCTAGGATTCATAGATATGGAAAAAGCATTTGACAGGGTTCCAAGAAAAATACTATGGAAAATATTAAAAGAAAGAGGTATTAATGAAAAAACTATACAAATAATTAAAACAATTTACAACAATAATAAAAATGCAGTGATCAACAAAAACAGAATTCAAATGTTTTTAGGACTAAGACAAGGAGGTGGATTAAGCCCATTATTATTCATAGTTTTTATGGATGATATAATCAAAAAATGTAACCAGAAAATAAAAAGAGTAATGGTGGGATACAAAAACTTACATAGGATAGAAATATCGGAAGGAGCGTTCGCAGATGGCTTAGTAATTATGGCAAGAAACCAAAGTGACCTACAGATAAACTTAAATATATGGAATGAAACCCTACAAGAATACGGCATGAAGATGAACATAAATAAAACAAAAGTGATGAATATAGGAGAAGGGCAAAAAGAAAAAATAAATATAAAAATTATTGAAGAAAAAATAGAACAAGTAGAAAACTCAATATTTAGGGGTAGAATTAGAAGATAATGGAGGACAAGAAGTAGAAATAAGCAAAAGGACGGGAAAAGCTCTAAACTTGTACCACGCAATGAAAAACAAATTTATAAGAAAGAAAGAAATCTCTAAAAGAACCAAAATAAATGTTTTTTGTTGCCATATTTAGACCAATATTAACTTTTGCATGCGAATCATGGGTACTAAACCAAGCACAAAAATCAAAAATAGAAGCTATAGAAATGAAATTTCTACGTTTATCAAACTTGATACATAATATACCTACTATTAATGATTTTTTCAATAAATACATTTACTACTGAGTTTAAGTTTTATAATTATAGGGCTTAAAATCATTAAGATATGCTAACACAGTCCACCAATAAGTACTGAAAATTGACCATAATTGCAGGCGCATTGACCATAATTTAAAATGTTGGTGCAACTTTCATAGGTATTACATAATAAATTTTAATATTAATTCAATTGCAGAAATGCTTATCTTAGCAAAGAAAACATAAATTTATTAAATTTACATTACTATTTAAGGTAAGCAGTTGTTGTTTACAGCGTGTGTTCGTTCGTGGAAACTTATATATCAATTAAAATAAATTAACCAGGTTTTAAATTAAGCAATTTATGCGTATGTATGTGCATTTTCCGTTGATTTACCCATTAGAAGGTGAAAACATTAAATAAACAATTAAATCATACGGCTAAATGCTTTTCATTGGCTTTACGGAAATGCGCTTATGTGCAACGGCTTATTTATTTATTTTTTATCAGATTAAGTAAAAACGTAATAATATTTGCGGTTTCCTAAGATTATTCGATCTAGGTAAACTATCACACTAACGCCACTGGATACAAAATCGAAAGTATATATAAAAGTATACTTTTGATTTTATAAGTACCTACATATTTTTTACTAAATATTTTAAAACAAAATAATGGTCTTATTTTTGTTGGTATACGAGTAAGATTGCACTATATTTGTAGAAGCTTTAAAGTCGAGCAAATTTTGAAAGTTTAAGATTTAAGAGTATACCGAGAAAAAAAACATTTACTTTATGTGGGTTTTTAAAATAGAATAGTATTTTTAAGCTTAAAGTTTTTATTAAAATCAATATATTTTTGTAGAAGTAACAGAGCTTTGAACTCATAGCAATTTTAAGCTCTTAAAAATCTCCCTTAAATATTGCTGAATTTTAATAAAATTTTAAGGGGATTCAAAACACGACATCTTTATTGTGACATGCACTGTTTTTAGTACATCCTTAAGATTTTATCAAAATCGAATATTTTTTGTAGATGCTACAGAGCTTTTTAATCTTTAAAAATTTTGGAAAGTTTTAGCAAAAATTTTGACCATCTTTAAAGCTCTCTATTTTCCACAAATTTAATCGGTTGTGAACAAAATCTCAGGGTATACAAGTTGTATAATACAACAAAAATACGCTTAATCTAAACCCACTAAATTGACTATGCGAAGATTCATATACTTTCTCTTTCAGGCAAGCTTTCCAAAACATCTAAAATATGATAGCGTCTGGTGGATATTTTATTTAAAAACATTTTCACAAATGATATTTCTGACACTTACAACGTTGTTTCAGCATATGTTTATATATATAAATTGGGGTTTCAAAAAAATTTAAATTTTTTTTTTTTTTAAATGGTGTTGAAAAATTAATAGTACATTAAAAAACAAAAATGTTGGCGCCTATTTGAGCCCTTAATATTAATATTAAGGTTTGCCTCAATTCATTTTTTGTTTTTCCATTTCAATAACACGGGAATTTTTATTTTTTTAATTTTGAATTCTTATAACTTTGGAATGGTTTGTTTTCGCAACACCCAAGCGAGAGGAGTTCTAGAATTCACGCTCTACAAAAAACATCTGAAGGTCAAAGTTCTTCAGATTAACCGTTTCAAACTTTAATTCTGTTAACCTGAGACTCTAAATATATATATATACATATTTGAAACACCCTGTATATACATTATGTATAAATTAAAAAAAGTTTACAGTCTCAGGTTAACAGAATTAAAGTGATTTTACATAAAAAATAATATAAATATGGCATATGATACTATTTTTGTATTTTATTTGAAAATATTTGAAATTTTTTTTAAGTGTTAGGTATTTTTGATCGCTGATATCTTTGAATCGGTTGATCTGAAGAACTTTGAACTTCAGATGTTTTTTGTAGAGCGTGAATTCTAGAACTCCTCTCGCTTGGGTGTTGCGAAAACAAACCATTCCAAAGTTATAAGAATTCAAAATTAAAAAAATAAAAATTCCCGTGTTATTGAAATGGAAAAACAAAAAATGAATTGAGGCAAACCTTAATATTAATATTAAGGGCTCAAATAGGCGCCAACATTTTTGTTTTTTAATGTACTATTAATTTGTGAAATTGTCTATAAAACCTCTCGCTTGGGTGTTGCAAAAACAAACCATTCCAAAGTTATAAGAATTCAAAATTAAAAAAATTAAAAAAATAAAAATTCCCGTGTTATTGAAATGGAAAAACAACAAATGAATTGAGGCAAACCTTAATATTAATATAAAGGGCTTAAATAGGCGCCAACATTTTTAATGTACTATTAATTTTTCAACACCATCGAAAAAAAAATTGTTTTTTTTAAACACCCTAATATATATATATATATATATATATATATATATACTGATAAATGAAACCCCTATGAACCATTAATGAAGCCTTATAACATTTTAATTTATAAAATATATTTCAAATTTAATTTTTTATATGAACTTTGCCCAAAAAGTATAGAATACCTTGACACAATTACTAATTACAAATATAATTTTAATTTAATTAAAGAAAGGTTGTTTACATTTTTTCAAATGAACTGCACCCAAATTATATAATTTCAATGATTTAACCCACATATTTCAACTATTTTAAATACATCTATGAACAAATAAATAAAAGCATGCCTGGGCAGTTCTGATAACGTTACAACATTTGGTTGCGACAAAACTAGAACAAATAGACAAAATAAAATCACTGATAATTTTTAAATGCTGCTATACGATGCAGGAAAGTGTGTTATTATAATCTATTCCGATTGGTAGCAAAAAACATTTCTTGATTTTAATTAGCTAAAATTGATATACACATAAAATTATAAATTATGGAAATAATTATGAAAGTGAAATGGAGCAGTCGTTATAAAGATATTGAAATAACGAAAACGTTCAGCTAAAAATATGTTTAAATTCATAATAAAATTTAATTCATAAAATAAATTACCTTATATGAATATTTTACAATTAATTACATTTATAAGGCATTCGAGATAATATTCATAAAATAAAAACTTTATATTTTATTTTTGTAGAAGCACTAGATACCAATATTGCTTACCTTCCCTCCATCTGGGTACACTTATAAACATTTTGTCATTCCAAATTTCGATTCCAACAGGCAGATTATTCTCAGGTTTAAACCTTCCGGTATACAGGGCCTTAATTTTTTCCTCGTTTGTGGGATAATTAAAATCTATGGCATTCCAACTAAATACTTCCTGTAATTTATATGTTGCTGTACAAAATTGTACAAACAATAATAAAAATACTGAAACGGCAGTTCGGTCCATTTGGAATTAAATCCTAAAATAAAATGTTAATAATATACAGGATGCACCAAGTATTCTTCTATGTATGGGTATCTTTTTTATTTAAAATGAAATAGTCAAAATTCTACTATAGTAGAATTTTGACTATTTCATTTATATATATATACCTATATATATATATATTTGAATTAGTACAAGCATTTTTTTACTAATAAAATAGTCGTTTTCAATTTTAAATAGTTATTTTTTACTACTTAAATAGTTAAAGTTTGACTAATTTAAGATTAGTCATCATTTTTGACTATTTCTGAGAGTTAAAAGTAACCAATTTCTTTAATCGTTTGCGGCCAACAATAAATTATTGTTTGAATTAAATGCATATAGGCTCCATGGTTAAATGGCCCATAAAAACAAACAAAGATGCAAAAAGTTTAGCTCAAAACAGCAACATAAAAAATATATTCAACTTTAAAATATTATGAGCAATACTTATAGACAAATAAAATTGGTTTTTATGAAAGTGACTGATGGCTCATTGGTTATGACATACGCTTGACAAGCTTGACAACCGACAGACCCAAAAGTTCTAAACCCCGGCTGGGTCAAAACTTTTTTTAAATTTAAAGCTACTAATTTCATTCAGTAGAATTTGATTATTACTTTCGCTATATCAATTAGTTAAATATGACTTAAAATTAGTTATTTTTGACTAATTCATTTTAAGAGAGTGGTTAAATTCGAGAAAAGTTACGTAATTACAAGTCTATTAAATGGCATTTATAGCTTCGAACGATGTATACATACATACATACCTACATGAGTTATAGCGGCCATTATAAAAACAAAAGAACGCTGGCCTTTTCCAATTTATAAATTTCATTTTAAAAGACTTGTATACAAGTCTTTTAAAATGAAATTTATAAATTGGAAAAGGCCAGCGTTCTTTTGTTTTTATAATGGCCGCTATAACTCATGTAGGTATGTATGTATGTATACATCGTTCGAAGCTATAAATGCCATTTAATAGACTTGTAATTACGTAACTTTTCTCGAATTTAACCACTCTCTTAAAATGAATTAGTCAAAAATAACTAATTTTAAGTCATATTTAACTAATTGATATAGCGAAAGTAATAATCAAATTCTACTGAATGAAATTAGTAGCTTTAAATTTAAAAAAAGTTTTGACCCAGCCGGGGTTTAGAACTTTTGGGTCTGTCGGTTGTCAAGCTTGTCAAGCGTATGTCATAACCAATGAGCCATCAGTCACTTTCATAAAAACCAATTTTATTTGTCTATAAGTATTATAATTATAATTACCCGAATTTAACCGACCTTTAAATAAAAAATACACATAGAAATATACACATTCAAGGATACTTGGTTCACCCTGTATACTTATTATAACAACAGTTTAACAATTGCAATCTACTTCCATTGCAATCGAAAATAATTATAACCTTCCCGCCGAACAACGGATTAATGAACTTATTATTCACGATGTTAGGCATCAGTGATTGGCCGATTTCAATATTCATTGTAATCTGAACCAATCGAATTTTAAATTGAAGAGGCGGCCATAGTAATATTAAAAATTGGTAAAATGTGAGGTTACACCGATAAAATAGTTTGGTCATTACAAACATGGGTCTTAGTTTCTATATTATGTATTTGCCACAACTTACGCATATTGGTTAGAAATAAGAACATTTTTCTGTGACAATATTGGTCAATTAGTTGTTACTTTGCCATTAATTTAAATGAAATTAAGTTGTAAACAACTTATCATATTAAATGTAAGATTATTAAAATATATCATTTTGACACAAAGAAATCAGTTTTTACCAAATATTTATTTGTTTAAAATATTTTTTGGTAGGGATGTTAGCAAACGCAAGGCAGCCATTGTGAACCAAAGAACTTCTTTGTTACGAACCAGTAAACAAGTGTATGAAATACATGCAGTACATAATTTTACGCAGATAAAAATGCAGTGTGTGTTGTGTGAACTATTAATGGTGAGTACTTATTTATTTAAATGTCACTTGTCCATATAATTTTAAGAAAAGTAGGAAGGCCCCCTGTATCTATATAAAAATTGGCAAAAAGGACAAAATATCTTGTGTAACCATCGAAAAATATTGCCACAATTTTTATTAACTATAACTAATCGTGTAATTAATTATCCCATTTATAATAAAAGTAAATTTCATTCAATTACAGAAGGACATAAAACTATTATTCTTTTTAATCAGGACTAATTTATAGACTTTTGTTACCTTTTTATATTTTATGTATAGGTTGGTACATGATTACTGAAGTATGAGATAACTTTTTGAATATTTTTTGTTTAAAATGAGTTAGCTAGTTAAGATTTTGTTTTGTATTCTTGTTTTATTTTTTTGGTAAAAAATATTTTTATATGTATAATAATATTTTATTATACTCTATATTATACTCTGTATTTTGTTATAAATATTATAAAATAAAATTGTTTTATTGAATTTATTTAGATTTTTAATAACCAGCGTCTCCTGCATTTAAATAATTTTATTGCAAATAAAGGGCTTATTCCTGACAATGAAATTTTCGTTTTGGGCTAATTAATTCTGTCGTGATAACAAGTTGCTTTTTTGTGACGAAATTATTGTTGTGTTGCAATAAAGCACATGCGTTTATCCCAAATAGGTGCATGTTTAATACAAAGAAATGAAAAATTTATTAGAAATAAATATTTAGTTGCAAGAACATAATCTTCTATTTGTAAAGAAATGTATGCATTTACGTCAAATTAATATAAGTTTGTTCGAAACCAACTTTACCAAACTAAGTAATTACTTGCCTTAAGTCTATATTAGTTGCGCAATATACAACCACAGGATTAGTTTACCTAAAATCAATTTCGTTTCTCTCAAACAAATTGTTTTTTCGGTGTAACCATCTGAGAGATTTATCTTTAAAAATCATTTAATTATCTACTACCTAATTGTAGTAGATAAAATCTAGAGATTATGCGCATTATTCACTCGGATGATTTCGTATAATAATATACTAACTAATATTGCAACGTTTGATTTGTATTGCTTTCAAATAGACAATATACATAGGTATTTAAGTTAATATTAAATATGAAATTAATTGAGAACCCCTAGAAGCCAAGGGGTACAAGTACATTAGTTTTGAGATAATCATTTTCAAACTAAAAACCATTTGTAATTTAAAGTCAAAATTGTTTGTTGTTTTATCACTTTGTTTTTTAAGAGGTCTAAGCTTTAGTTTTATCCCTAGGATACCAAGTAAAATGTACCATTTACTATCTGTTTATGTACAGGGTGTCCCAAATTGGTTGTCCGTATAGGCTATGTCAGTAAATATAAATGCTAGAAAAAATTCGACCACGCATCCCCGTCGTCTTTTTTAAAGATACATCGGATGATGTCTTTGAATTTTCTCGATTCGCATTTGTTTAGGAGATATACCTATTTTTTCAATTTTTGCCAATTTTGGCAAATGCTTGTAGCTTCGTTAATATTTGAGTTACGAATACAGGTTTAAAATATTATGTAGACACTTTTTATCACAGAATTCATTAGTGTCCACAGATTTTTTTTAGCTCTTTTAGGTTAAGAGATATGACCCTATACGGACAACCAATTTGGGACACCCTGTACATAACTACATTTTTTTTTAAATATTACTTGTATCCCTTGGCTTCTAGGGTCCTCAATTATAATGAAATAATATAGAGTTTTCTGCAAATATTTTTTGATTGTATTAAAATATGGAAAGTGGATATTGCTAAATGTTCCTATTTTAATAAAAACGAAAATTAAAAAAATATCGCTGGGTTAGTAAAAGTTAGCTTGACTTTTTTTCTATGGTATTATAAAGTTTTTGAGTTTTAGGTACTAATTGCAAATTTTGCTTAAAAAATAAATATTTTATACAAGTAGTTGATGTTTTTTATTCACTCCCCCATTGATAAGCTGTGACTTTATGGCGTTTTAGTCAAGGGCTGAAGTTATCAACAGTGGCTTTTGGGAATTTTAGTTACGGGCTGAAGTTAGCTATATTATAAATTGGGAAAAAGGTTAAATCCGTTGACAGTTGTCAAATTTTTAACAAATAAAATTGCCTCTAAATTCTTTTTTTTTGTTCGTCGTAGATAAAGTATAGTATGCAACTCGTTTTATTAACTTCTTCAGACACTCGTTTTTATTAAACACTCGTAACTAAAATAATATAGGTACTTATTATTTTAAAAATAATTTATTCTTATAAACCATTTATGCAATCAAATTTAGTTTTAAGGGTCAAGTGTTCATAAAATTGCATTTTTTACTTTTTCGTTTACTTAAAATGATGTTTAAAGTGGATAACCTATGTATAGCCCGCTAACACTTAATTAGCGATTTTTTCTCTAGTTCTATTATTTTTTACGACTGGCATTTTAAGATATTATTTTATTCGTGTTGTATTTTATTTTTATGACATATTTAATTTATACAAAATTAGTACTATTTGTTTGTGACCATGTTGGCAACACGGTATAAAATTTTTTTTGAACTAAAATTTAATTTATCCCCTGGGGCTAAAAAATATTATAGTCTTAAATTTAAAAAAAATAATATTTAGAGACGTAGACTAAAAAAAGGAAAAAAGGCAATCGCATTTCAATTTACAATAAATTACTCAAAACTCAAAAACTTTAAAGCCTTAAAAGAAAATTCGAGCTTACTTTAACAAACCTAAGACTTTTCATTTTGGACAAAAGGAAATCACAGAAATGGATGACAAATCACTCAGCAAAATTACGCAATAATACTTATTCATACAATTAGGCTGAGAAACTCAAAGTTTGAAAGCTTAAGCAACTTGCTTAAATTATTTTTTTACGACTAGACGTTAAATAAAAATATTTTGAGCATTTTTATTTTGGACATGTATTTTGTCAAAAAATTTTTAAAAAAGTTTTTTTACTTTCATGATTTAATTCGTTTATTAAAAATGTCCTACCTTACTATACTGTATATA